TCCTCCTCCTCCTGCTCCTGCAGAGCCTGCAGCCAGCTGGCCACAGGGCCAACGCTGCAGCTGTTCTGGGCTCGCTGGTCCCTCTCCACCGCGACGCCCAGCTCGCCCCAGCCCCGGTGATCAGCTGCGCGTGTCTCAGCCACCTCCGGTGGTTTTCAGCTTGAGGACCTTGGAAAGTGGCTCCTTGGCACTGGAGTAGAGGAGGTAGGAGCCCTCGGCGGTGTGAAACGCCTCCCAGTCTCTGCAGCCAACAGTGGGGAGGTGATGAGCTGCCACGAAGCCTTCATAGCCTTGCCACCTGCACGGGGAGGGCAGTTAGCTCTCGGGGCTGGCGTCTCCCACCTCCCCGCTGTGCTTCGGGGCAGGATGTCCCTCACTGGAGCTTCTCATTCCTGCCCAGAAACCTCTCCATAAACAGGGAGCAGCCCTATCTGTCTTCCCTGGGCAGTGTTGGCAGAGCTTGCCCCCTGGCGCCGGGCTCCCTGCCACCCAACCCTGCCCCCCTCCCCCGGCGGTACCTGTAGATAATGCTGTTAACGGAGAAGGTGATGCCATCGAAGGAGTTTGCTACCACCAGAAAAGCATCGTCTCCCACCGAGAAGAACTCCCAGTCCAGGGCACTGGGGAGGAGGAAAGCAGAGGGATGGGTGAGGTGGCCCCTCCATGGCCAGCCCCGCGGCTGAGCCCACCCCACCCTAATGATGATATGCAGAAAACCCTGCTCTTCCCAGGCTGTTTCTGGGAGGAAAGCCACCCTCATCCCCAAATCCAGTGCCTTCTCCTACCTCCTACCGGGATTTGGTGCCACGGACCTGCCACCCATTGCCCTCCCCACCAGTTTTGGTCCGCAGCAGCACACGAGCCTGCATGAGTCCTCCAGGAGCCCTCCAGGTTGCTCTGTTGGGGGACTGAGGAGCACCCCAACTCTTTGCACAGGTACCTGTAGGTGAGGAGGTCCTGGAATTTGACAAACATCTGGGCAGTGATGTTCAGCTCATAGATGGAGGAGTTGATGGCATAGAAGTTAGAGGGTGCTGGCATCCTGCTGTCATAGCTGTGGCTGTATGGAACAGCCAAGAAGACTCTGTCCCCAATACGAAAGACCTCCCAGTCAGCAGCGCCGAAAGTCTGCAGGGAAGGGAGCCACATGAGACGCTGGATGTGGACCAGCCTGTGAAAGCTGAGGATACTGCAAGGGACACAACTTGCTGGAGGCACAGAGGGGTGGTTACCCGCTCCCAAAAGCCTCTGAGGGAAAAAAATAAACCTTGCTCCATCAATCCTTATGGGAGAAGCAGTGGGAAACCATCGCCACCTTTCCAGAGGCCTGAAGAGCATTTGTCTCTAATTATTCCCTAGGTTGTCTAAACCCAGAGCGGGGACCAAGGAATAGAGCTTGATCAGTGGATGAGCCTTACCAGGATAGACTGGAAGAGCTGGAAGGAGCCACTGAGCCAGATGTAGATGTGCGAGTAGATCTTGGTGGATGTGCCATTGAACGTGTTGGCCACAGCCAGGAAAGAATATGGCCCAATGGTGAAAAACTCCCAGTCATAGGCTCCAGAGGTAGGGATGGTCTGGTTGGTTTCAAACAACCCCGTCCGGGGGTTCCACCTGTATATCACGCTGTCTATGTTGTGGTTATTCCCTGCGGGAGACAGACAGACAGAACGTGAGGAAAAGGAATACCTGGCTTGGGTAAGAAACAAGACCCAGAAACAGGTTCAGCTACACAAGAATTTGCCAGCAAGGTTGCAAGGCTGTTTGCTGGTGACCGATTGCTCCCCAAGAAGGGGCCAAGGAGACTCTAGAGCCCCCACCCCCACCTAGAGCCTCCACCCCCACCTAGAGCCTCCAGCCCTACCTAGAGCCTCCAGCCCACCCAGAGCCTCCAGCCCCACCCAGAGCCTCCAGCCCCATCCCGCACAAGCAGCACACCAGTGTTCTGGGGCAGCCAAGCCCTGCCAGCTGTCCTATAGGGAGGCCAGGTGTAGTGGGGCCAGTCCCAGCTGAGTCCCCAATTTACCAACATCATGGGCTGCCATCGCCCTTCACGCACAAGCTCGCACATCTGGGAGGGGGCCACAGCTGGAACGGCACCGCACCGATGTTTTTCAGTGCTCCTTTGCTAAGTGCCCATGCTAAGCTCCTGAGCGCTGGGGCTGGCCAGGGACCTCCATGTGCCGATCCCTGCTGATGCCACAAACTCCAGAAAGAGAGAGGGGATGCCACAGCCCACAGCCTGCCCCATACTGAGCACTCGGGCCGAGCCCACCAGCACCAAAGCATGTGCTCCATCCAGCTCCTGGGCCCTAGTCAAGCATCTCGGGTTGACCATTGGACGTGGGTTAATGGTTGGATTTGGGTTGACCGTTGGCCTTGGGTTGATGGTTGGACTTGATGATCTGAGAGGCCTTTTTCAACTGTAATGATACTATGATTCTATGACCTTGACCTCATGCCCATGTGGGACCCAGTTGGCTTTAAAGCCAAAAACCTTTCTGCACCTTCAGCCTGGCACGTCCCCTCCAGCCCGAGCCGTTCTTCATCAGGTTGGGGGGGAGCAGCACCAGCCCCTTTCCAGCGCAAGCTCACTAAGTGCTGCTGCACTCGGCACAGCCCTGTTGGTGCTTCTGGGGACTGAGCAGCACCAGGACCACATGTTAAAGGGGTTTATGGGCAATCCTCATTACAACAGAAGGGACTTTGGCAAGAAGGCTGCAGGGAGAATAGGGTCTGTGGGAAATGGTCACAGGGGTAAGCGGCAGCTCCTTGGGTTCTGACCCTCCACTGCCTGCTAAGGGGAACATCCCCAGTTTGGCTTGGCCATGAAGGCTTTGGCTTCTCAAGAGGTTCAGCTCCTGCAAACCCATGCAGCTGCCCTCACCGCCCCACCACGTCACATAAAGCTGGGGAAACCGGTGAAAAGCAACAGAGAGATTCAGCAAAGACACCATCCCCACCACTGTCCCTGTCCCCTGCAGTCCAAAGCCTAGCAGGGGAGCATGTTGGCCACTGCCCCGAGCGCTTCTCTCTCCTCGATGGAGAGGGTCTGCAAGGGTTTGGGCTTCCCGAGAGGCTCCAAGCTGCTTTGCCCTGCACTCCAGTGGGGGATGCACAGGGAGCTGCCGAGGTTCTGCAGCAATGGGGGATGCTCCCGAGCAGGGTCCCCAGCATCCAGCTGAGCTAGGCCAGTAGGGAATACGATGGCTGGGTACCTTCTCTGTGGTTGACCACTGCAAGGAAAGCCTCTCCCTCAATGACAAAAGCTTCCCAGTCCCTCGCGCTGTGTGTGGGGATCCTCTGGTAGGTGATGAATTTCTCCTTCTTGCGGCTCCACTTGTATATTACAGAGAACTCCTGGCCCCCATCGTCCCGCTCAAAATTAGCAACTGCTAGGAAGATCTGAAAAATAACAAGCCAGGATATCTTGGTTTTCTCCTGTCAAAGGGGTGCAGACAAGCAGGGGCAGGGGGAGGATGG